CATCCTCTCCGCCAGCCCGTGTGACCCCCGCCTGCCCCCCTCCCTCCTTCCCCCCGGCGGCGCTGTCGTTGCCCTATTCGTGGCCCGCCCCGCCGCCGCCGCCGTTTTCCTCAAGACGACGACGGCGGCCGGGCTACACCGCCGCACCGCCGGAAGTGCTACCGCCCTGCTAGCTACAGCCCCCCCGAGGGGAGGTGATAAATCGAGAACAAGGACTGTCGTCACGCGAGCACCGCGGAGACGCACAGCAGCGAGCAGACGAGGATCGCAGGCGGCGGCGTCATCGTTCTCTCTCGCGTTTTTACTTCATATTTTGCACCAATAGTATAGTCACAAACCGAGGGGTCCTTCTTTATCAATTCTAGCGTACACCGATTTTTCTGTTTTTCTTGATTTGTATTTTTTGTGATTTTTTTCTGCCTTTTTGTTGATTTTTTCTGATTTTTTTCGTGATTTCTTCATGACATTTTCTGATTTTTCGTTATCTTTAGTGATCTTTTCTAAAGGTGTACACTGATTTTTTATTAGTGAAGTACACCTTGTCACAAACCCTTTCTAAAGCTAAAATAAAAGGGGTAAACCCTCGCCCCGACATCATAGCACAACTCGATTTAGCTCTCATAGAAAAAGCCTTTCAGCCTGCCATCCGAAACGCGAGTATTATTTTCCACCGCAGATGCTGCTGTTGTCGAGCCTTATAGATAAAGTCCGAGCGGTATAAGCCCCGTGGGGAGATACGCCCTTATCCAGTTGATCTCTTCTTATTAATTCGCCCGTCGCCCTACTCCAGGCGAGCAGCGATACGCTCGTTTTTTTATCTTATCGTGAGGAGATGAGTCGATTACAAGTTTTTGGGCGCGCGGAGCGGCCGACCCGACCCACCGACCGACCCACCGACCGAGACCTCATGGCAGGCGAGATTACAATGTGTGCGGAGCCCACGTGGCCAACGCCTTCGCAGGTTCCGGCCGGGCCGGCAGCATAAACCGGAAAAGCGTCCGAAAATTATGAAAACGGCGCTGCGTTTTATGCTTGTGCCGTCCCGTGCAAAACACTTGGAGTATCGACCCCTCCCCCCCCCCACTCATCTCCCTCACTCTCTCGCAGTATCCTTTTTATCTAGCTGCCATCCGGCGCCTCCCCCCACGACGACGGGCCGCGGGCGCGGGGGCCTAACAACTACAAAGTCGCGACGCCTGTTAATCCCCCCCTGTTTGCGGGCCAAGATTGCAGCCTCAAGTGCCCAAGTAGTGTAGAGTCGCATGCGCCCCGAGCCGAGCCCCCCAACACCACCGGGACGACCGTCCCGCAGCAGCCAGACAGGTGAGCTGTATGGTATAGTCATAGTACGAACGGACCATCTCCTCATGCTTTCTTTCCATGCTAAAGGAAAACGAAACATTTCTGGGTCTCGTCTTGGCAGCGGTGCATATAGCGCTCGCTTTTAACAGAGTTGTGTTGGGGAGGGATATGGAGCGGGGGTCTGTATGCTGACCCGGTTGGTTCGGACCCACTCACATTGCCTCCAGACTGTGGCCGATGGGAAGATAAACACAACGCACCGACACGCACGGCGGTCTGGGCAAACGCCTCTGAACGCCCCCCCCCC